CCACACAACCTTCTCTTCTCCAGGCTCAACAGCCCCAACTCCCTCAGCCTGTCCTCAGAGGGGAGATGCTCCAGTGCTCTTAGCAACTCTGTGGCCTCTTCTGGACTTGCTCCAACAGTTTCATGTCCTTCTAACATTGGGGACACTAGAACTGTGTGCAGTATTCCAGGTGAGTCTCAGGAGAGCAGAGGGAGAGAATCAGAATTCATAGCCATTGAGCCCATTTCTCCATGTTTCATTACAGATTTCCCTTTGGCAACTGCTTCTGGGGTATGGAATGTGATGACTCAGTATTCCCCACAGGAAAAACGATCCTTGTAGACCATCATTTATTTAACAGTGGACAAGAAGAAAGGAGGTTAATTCCCTGACATTTTCAAAAGGTCATTGGTGAAAGGACAAGTTCATTTCCTGCGGGAAGGGTGATCTGACCATGACGGACAGGCTGGAGCTGGGACTCTTTGTAAGAACATTCAGTCTGGAATGGTCCCTGGAAGAACAGATGGGGAAAGGACGTGACAGCGAGGACTTCGATGAACCCTACTCAACAAGACCAGAGAGCAGAACAGAAAGCAACTCACCAGGGAATAAAATAATTTCTAAGGAAAGTGAGCAACTTCTGAGCTGGTTAAAAGTGCTAACGCAGGAAAAGGGATCCCTGCAGGCACACAAGGAATCAGGAGAAAAGATTTTTAATGTGATGCTGGCAAAATGTGGAGAACAGGGTGCAGATGTAGGGAATTTGTGATACCCTGAGGCAGTTTCCATGGAGGTAGGAATACTAAAGCAATGTCTGACTTTAGTGCTCCCACAACCCCCAAAAATACAAACATCAAGGAACAGCCTCAGGAAGCCTGTTGTGGCACACTGAATCAGGCTGGGATGGGCATAGCACTTGGTCTTCCTGCTGGAGCATAAATGCAGGAGTTTATGGATTAGACATTGGAGGGGAATATGTAAGGGAAGAGTTTGGGGGTTCAACTCCATGCAGAGCACACTGTGTCAGAAATACTTCAGCCATGGGGTTGCACCACTTTGGGCTGAGAGGCAAAGAAAAGCAAACCACATGGAGCACCCTGGATCAACCAGTTCGACTCAGCAGCTGCTTCTGGAGGCCTCAGGCTGCCCAGTAACATAGAACTTTAGGGGTGGGAATGGACCTTAGAGATCATCCAGCCCCAACCCCCTGTCCTGGGCAGGGACACCTCCCACCACACCAGACTGCTCAAGGCTTCATCCAGGCTGGCTGTGAACACTGCCAGGGTTGGGGCATCTACTACCTCCCTGCATAGACAGATCTCCAGAGAGTTCCTCACGCAAATCCCTCAGATCAACTCCAAAGCAAGTTTAAGAGTCTATAGATCTTAACTGGTTGGTTTTGCATATATCATCTGGGATTCATGTGTAATCTTCCCATCATGCTAGCTCTACTAAGGGGAAGTGTGTGTATACCCACACCTGAGTGGTTACTGGAAAAAAACAGCTTAATCATCTTACTTTCAGAGCTTTGCTGGGTACAACTTCAGTCACTGATAAACACAATGTCTTGCATGACACAAGAAGACACCAGAACATTTCTACATCACATGTCACTATGTTGTACACTGATGATGTGGTCTGAATGGTTCCATGCACTTCAGCAACTCAGAGTTTTGTTTTAGCAAGATTTAAACACTTTCGTGATTCCATGTAGGAAGAGCAGCTCAAAACAATCCATGGGATGGGAGGAAATACATACACATAGGGCAAAGCACAGCTAATAGCCATGGGAGAGAAAGATTATCTGGGAGAAAAAATGCTGAAGTTTGTGCAGGTTTTGTTGTTAAACAGATTAGCACGTTACTTCATTCCTGTGTCTTCAGGACTGTGCTAATGACTATTCTAAAGGACAGAGCATCATAGAACCATAGAACCATCCAGGCTGGAGGAGACAGCTAAGATCATCAGCTCCAGCCATTAACCTGTCACTGCTGCAACCCCTAAACCCTAAACCAGATCCTCCAGTGCCACATCCAGACATCTCCAGGGACGGTGACTCTACCACCTCCCTGGGCAGTATCCCAGTGCCTCAACACACTCACAGGGAAAACATTTCTCCTCACATCCAATCTGACTTTGACCTGGCTCAGCTCAAGGCCATTCCCTCTAGTCCTCTCCCTGCAGCCATGGCAGGACACACATCCCCCACCTCTCTCCAGCCCTGGCAGGGAGTTGCAGAGAGCCAGGAGGTCACCCCTGAGCCTCTTCTCCAGGCTAAGGAAGCCCAACTCCCTCGGCCCTTCCCCATGTGCTCTAGCTCTTTGCTGCCCTCGTTGCCCTTGGCTGGACTCACTCCAGTGCTTCAATGGCCTTTGGGCACTAACTGAGCACAGCACTGAGCTGGGACCTCCCCAGTGCCCAGTGCAGGGGGATGACCAATCTCAGTTTGCAGAGAGCATTCAGAAGCTCCTCACTAGGTGGCACCAGCCCTTGCTGCTGCTCACAGCCCTGACCACTGCAGGTGCAGCTTTCCAGCTTCAGGAAGTCTGATAAGGAGTTCAGGTGGGGTCAGACTGTCCTGTGCGAGGGCTAAGGCAACAAAAGCAGAAGGTTTCTGGAGACATGCCTGACAGTGAGCCAGCTGGGACAGTGCAGATGAAGTGCACCATGCAGCTGAGCTTCCTGAAGAGAAGGTCTTCCCTCCTTCAGCCTTCATTTCATCTAGTAGAAGGACTAAGAGGAACAAGAAAAACTCATTATCCTATTTCTCCAGTGGATTGCTAAATTCACCTTTAATGTCCCAGACCTTCATGTTTTCAAATTTATGTTCTGGATCTGTATCCTAGTGTAAGGCTGACGTTTGCTGCTGCCACCACAGGGTGACCAGTGTTGGCAAGGGATGGACTTGAGTTGTTTGACTAGAGCATTGATAAGGAAATTCAGCAAACCTCTCTCTGGTGCCCTAAGCTGTATGGTATTCAACTCTTACACAGAGTAGCACTGAGAGTCGTCAGGTTTTAAAAACAGAGCACATAGCTAATGGTTATTTCTATTTTTAATGTATCTTTTGCTCCTTCAGAGATCATTCAGATGAGCCTCACATTCCAGCTCTGCTTCTCAGACAACACTTTCCTTCTCATCATTGTTAAAAAGCTTTTTTTTAATATCATTTAGACCAAAAGCAAACAAAAAAAATATAAAATTCACTTGAAGTAAAAATAACTGAAAAATGAGGCTTGTTCAGCCTGGTGGCATGGCAACAATCTGCTGCTCCCTCAGCTGCTTTGTCTGGCCATGAGACATTAGGACAGCAGTGACCAACTGACACTGACATCAATTCCAGAGCAGTGATTCAGCTTGGAGAAGGGGCTGGGTTATTTTTTTTTTCTCATTAAGGAAGGAATAAACATCAAATCTTCATTAAAAAAAAAAAAAAGAACTATGAAAGGATTCTCTTTACCAGAAGCCACATCCCTTCTCTGAAGTCAGTGGAAGGAATAATTTTGTCCTGTTTTCTGTTCCCACGGTTTGATCTCATTTGTGATCTTCCAGAAAGTTGCTATGTCACCCAAGAAGATAAAACATGTGTAAAAGAAAATACATGCTGGAATGTAGGTCAGGAACTCAAAAGAACCAGTTAATAGTTTCTTCATGTTGCAAAGCACAGAGAGGGATATGTCAGAAAGGCTTTCTGTGCTTTGCAGAGCTTCTGCAGCAAGAACAATACTGGGACCACAGCAAAGGTCTCTCAAAGAGAAGCATCAGAAAGGGCGAGTCTAGACAAAACGTCACGAGGATTTCCATGCTAAGTCTTCAAGAGGTTATTGTGTGGAGGAAAGGAGAAGAGGAAGGAGGAGACGATGTGGGAAGGAAGCAGTGAGCAGAGGGGAAGGGAAGTTTGTATGCAGACTCAGTAAGAGGATAGCTCTGAGAGCCTAAAGCAGAATCTCTGCTGAATTATGGCTGCACAGAGAAATTAGAACCACAGAATCCACAACCATCAGGGTTGGAGGAGACCTCTAATATCATCAAGTCCAACCATAAACTGGGAAATTTAGGATAAAAATTAAGACATATATTAGCAAATCTATCTCTCCAGTGAGCATTCTCTACTGACTTATGTGGCAGGACTTGGATTGACTTGAAGACCTTATCACCCTCTCCAACTCCCTGACAGGAGGTTGGAGTCAGGTGGGGGTTGGTCTCTTCTCCCAGGCAACCAGCAGCAGGACAAGAGGGCACAGACTCGAGCTCTGCCAGGGCAGGGTTAGGTTAGCTATTAGGAAGAGATTTTTTAGGGAGAGAGTGCTCAGGCATTGGAATGGGCTGCCCAGGGAGGTAGTGGATTCACCATCCCTGGAGGTTTTCAAGGTG